TTTAGGTAATGTAATCAGACTACTTTTGGATTACTTTTAATAACGTGTTTTAAAGTTATCATTAGATGTGTATATATAATTAAAAACATACCTTATTGGTATAAAGAAAAAAGAAAGGAAAATATATTCCATTTTTTATTATGTCAACATCATAAATTGCATTAAACATTACATTACAGCAGGGCTTCCCAAACTGGGCTTAATGAAAGCGCTGCAGTGGGTTTGAGAGTTGATAAAAAGCTAATAATGAATTAAATCATAAAAATGTACAGTAAAACTAATTTAAACACTTGAACACTAAAAATAGAAATATTTTATTTGTTTACCTGCATGTCAGTGTGACCATTAACCGACATCAGAGAACTGTTAAATTATTGAAATATTAACTTCCTCAGAGATATTTCAAGTAAATATTTTAATATTGCATTTCATAGAAACATAACACTCCTTGTTATTTCAAACTGAAGAAATCACCATCCGAATCGATGCCTGGTTCATGAACGAGCTGATTCTTTCCTTTTGAATCATTCCACAAATCACACTAAATGAATCATTCGTGAATCTGACTGATCCAGTTGCAGCTGTTCTTGATTCAGCAACTCATTGGGCCTCATTCATGAAACGTTAGTAAATAGGAGTAAATTTAGTAATTTGCGCGTAAAACGGACCTTCCAGAAAACTCTCCTCCGGATTCACAAACGCTTCGTAAACTTCCCATTTGATAGTTAAAAATGCATATGTTAATGAATTCCAATCATTCGTAAGTAATCATACCCTCATTCACAATTACCATAATCCCCGCCTATGAATTACAGCTACGCAAATTGCGTGTCCAGGAACTCAGTGCAATATTCGGTCTACTTTCTCAGGTTTGGCTCCAGTATATTGCATAAATCCAAAAAAGACTAATAGGCCATATGCCTAACAATAAATATTCAATAACGTGTGTCCACCAAAGCGTTTTTAGCCGTCTGAAAACTGTCAGGTGCTCTTCTGAAAACGACCAGCTGGTGGCGCTGCAGGACGCTTTGGTGGCACAGCGTTTTTCCAGCTGAGATGCTTTGATTGCTATAATTTGGAATATCCACGGCAGTAACGCATCACTAGTATCTCATTTTGAAGAATATTACTGAATATAAAAATGCAGTAACCAGCAATGTTAACTTCTCTATTGTTGTTCAGTTGTTGTACAAGTAGGATGATTGGTCGGTGTAGCCTCATATTTGTCCCGCCCCTCCTCCATTGATTGGACGGCTGGGTAAAAAGTGACTGACAACTAAAGCAGAGCAAACGAACTTGTAAAATATTACGATGGCAGTGCATCAAAATTCAGCATCATCAGTTTGCCAAAAAGAACACAGAACGTTTATGCACCATTTACACGTGGTAGGGAGCAGGTGTACATTTCTTTCGTACCAACTAACATTTTGAAAATACGAACACTTTCATGAATCCGAAAATTTACATCAGAACAGCTTTACGAACGATTTACACAAAAATTGGGAATGAGGCCCATTGTGGTTTTTATACTATTTTTTCATCACATTTACCCTAATTAAGTTTTCCTCATTCAAAATACTATGTGGTGCACTATTTCACTTGTTTGCATACTTGAATTATATTTCAGTATATTGCAGTTTAGTGTTTTGATGGTGTACAATACGTTTTGGTAATAAAAAGTGTGCTTATTTACAGATCAATACGTACGGTATTAGTGCTGACTAAAGACTAGTCTGACTAGTGCTGCTAGTATTAATCCTCGGACCCCGTTGGTTTCATACTGATTACTTTGTCACATAATATTTGTTTTCGACATGACTTCGTTTAAAAGTAGACATGTCAAGCTTTCTATAGATAATATCTCTCGTGTGTGTGTGTGTGTGTCAAATATTCGCTGAGTTTCAGTTCATTTTACTGATGTGCGGAGAATGAGACGGCTAAAAGCACACCCCGTTTATTTTCTTTATTTTACAAAAGCACAATGTTTTGTTGATATCGTGAGTGAACACAAATAAAAGTAGACCCTTTACAGTATTACTCTTATATGTACGATCAAGTATGATAGAGCACTTTAAGTTCTTTTCGCTGTTATCATTAAAATCTGCAAGTGGTGGCGCCGGCGAGGTTAAGGAAATTCAAAATCAAGCACTTTTCCATTTTAATCTGTCAGTGAATATTCCTGAATCCGAGCGCTGTGATTGATTTGGTGTGTTTTCTGTGTGTGTTAGATTACTACACCATGTTCGGCACCAGCTGTCACGGATGTGACTTCCCCATCGAAGCGGGCGATAAGTTCCTGGAGGCGCTGGGGTTCACCTGGCACGACACCTGCTTCGTCTGTACGGTACGGGAACGCTCGGCTTTACACTATTTCAGAGCAACGAGGCGCTTGGGTGTGTTATAGTGAATACAGCGGCTTCAGAGTGATTATATTCACAATATAACACAACGTCAAGCCTTGATTTGATTTTAAAAACATTATTTTATGAATCAGATTGACGTTTCCCAGTGGGTCTCACACGATCCAGGACAGTATCTGAATGATAATACTGCGACTACTGCTGTAATGATGAAGCCTTGTGCATGTAAAGAAAATAGGAGTGGAAATATATGAAAATAGTTCAATAAAATCATTCCAGATGTTTCAAGAACTAAATGTTCACACACTTAATAACCAGTGAATATATGATTTTTCCAGTAGTTTGTAATTACAGGATAAGGTTATTGATTTGATTGGTTTACTTGATTTTTTTTTAATTTACTTTATGTATTTACTATACTAACTTTATATATTTATTTATGTATTTTATTCTTTACTTTGCTTACTTTATTTACTTGGTATTTATTCATTTCACTTATTTACTTTATCTATTTTCATAACCATTTAATCGCTTCTCATTACATTTTCATTATTTACTTGTTTGCTTTATTTACTTATTTGTTTAATTAATGTGTTTTACGGCACCGACAGCCAGTCAGTGCGAGGATATTTAACGTTTTAGGAGTTATTTCTGTGCTCTTTTATCTGTCAGGTTTGTGGAATGTCTGATCGTCTCAGTGCCTTTATTTCTATTAATATACAGAAATGTGTTTCATATTTAGGCCTAAAGTAATTCAGACTGTTTTCTAATCATTAGCACTTGTTTTGAAGCTAAGAAGGGTTGCTGGTTCATGTGTGTCTTTATCTGTTTATCTGTTCTAGATTCCTGTAATTCACTTATTTTTTCTGAGATGGGATGAAAAATAAAACAGTTTTTCTCAAAGTCTCATAGTGTGATTAAAATGCTTTCTTTATGCAACATGGCTCACAGCATCTATTGAAAACAGTGCTATTATTTCATTACTCAAAATATATATGTACATATGCTTGTGTATACGTGTGTGTATATACTTTGTGTGTATATATTTATATACTTTTGTGTGCAAAATGACAAACTTATAAAACAAAAATGACTATTTCAGCTAGTAATTTGTTTAAAGTTGAAGTACTAAAATAACTAAAACTAAATAAACTACAACAAAAATAATAAAAACTATATTTAAATAAATGAGAACAAGGCAATTGCGAAAACTAACAAAAATTAAACCAGAATGTATAGAAAAATATTTGAAATATAATATAGAATTATTCTATATTTCAAATATGTTCTATATATTTAGAGAAAATCTAAAATCAGAGAATATAATTTTTTTTTTTTTCAAAATATTAACAAAACCATAATCGTTTCTTCATACAACATGGATCACAACATCTATTATTTGAAGTACATATATTAGTCTATTATTTATTAACTAAATAAACTTAAAAAAAATTATATAAAATAATGACAAAACAACAAATTTACTCAAACTTAGAAAATATATAGAAAAAAGTACAATCCAATATAAAAAAAATCTCAAATCAGAGAATATAACTTAAATATTCAAATATTCAAAAACTATAATAGTGTTATCAGTGACACTAAAATAACACTGCATCATGAGTAGCCGATTGCTACTAGAGGTCATTCTCCCATTACATTGACTCTCACACCACACAGACTGTTACACATCACCCTGGACTGCATTTCCCATCAACCATTGCACTGATTACACGCACAGCTGAATGCACTGATTACACGCACAGCTGAATCCAATCAGACATGCTACATAAGCCATGGACTTCCTCTCTCTCACTGCTGAGTATTGTTCTGCATTTTCCACTCATCTAGTGTTAGCTGCATTACCGAGCCTAGTGTCTTGTTTTCTTCGTCTTGCCTTGTCTGTTTCCCCGTGTTTTGATCACTGCCTGTTTACCTGGATTAAGTCTGGATCGAGTCTCGCCCTATTGGATACTGTTTGCCCCTGCCTGGACCTTTGCCTTGTACCTTGATTATCCCTCTTGCCTTGCCATCAATATACCTGTTTGCTATTGTCTGACCTATGCCTGTTTTTGACCACGTCTCAATTAATAAAGCCTTGCAGATGGATCCGCACGCTTCCTGTATTCTCTCTGTTACATCACTACTGTAAATGCTTTAATAGTGAGTGTCATTGTGTATTTTGCGGGTCACCTGAGAGCGATCCTTCGGGCTCCAGATCCCAGACCATCACCACCACAAACACACAGCCCGTGCTCGCCTTTCATATGGGGCCAGATTAGTATCAGTCCCTGGGAAATGGATATTCGCGAACGCACAGCGCCTTCCGGTAATGATTGAGTTTGCCAGTAGGTGCAATGCATGTTCATGATGATCAGATTATACAAAAGTTTAACCGCATTAGTCCTCCATAACTAAAACAAAAAAAAAAAACTTTCAGACATACTGTACCTGCTCCAGGATTATGTGCGTGTGATTATGATTAGTGATGGGAAGTCCGGTTCTTTTCCGCGAACAGGTCAGAAAATATTTCGATTGTTATTTTCCACGTGTATTTAAAGAGCCATTGACTCGGTGATAATATATTTTTCACACGCGTGAGATCAGTGTAAGTGTGCTGAAGCGTTTGGACGGCCGTCTCTCTCTCCTGCATCCCGCTGCAGTTTGACCAGCTCTCTTTATGCAGATATATTTTATATTTATTGAGGCGGGACGGAAGATTTTGGGGGCTTTCCATGTGTTTTACGGCACCGACAGCCAGTCAGTGCGAGGATATTTAACGTTTTAGGAGTTATTTCTGTGCTCTTTTATCTGTCAGGTTTGTGGAATGTCTGATCGTCTCAGTGCCTTTATTTCTATTAATATACAGAAATGTGTTTCATATTTAGGCCTAAAGTAATTCAGACTGTTTTCTAATCATTAGCACTTGTTTTGAAGCTAAGAAGGGTTGCTGGTTCATGTGTGTCTTTATCTGTTTATCTGTTCTAGATTCCTGTAATTCACTTATTTTTTCTGAGATGGGATGAAAAATAAAACAGTTTTTCTCAAAGTCTCATAGTGTGATTAAAATGCTTTCTTTATGCAACATGGCTCACAGCATCTATTGAAAACAGTGCTATTATTTCATTACTCAAAATATATATGTACATATGCTTGTGTATACGTGTGTGTATATACTTTGTGTGTATATATTTATATACTTTTGTGTGCAAAATGACAAACTTATAAAACAAAAATGACTATTTCAGCTAGTAATTTGTTTAAAGTTGAAGTACTAAAATAACTAAAACTAAATAAACTACAACAAAAATAATAAAAACTATATTTAAATAAATGAGAACAAGGCAATTGCGAAAACTAACAAAAATTAAACCAGAATGTATAGAAAAATATTTGAAATATAATATAGAATTATTCTATATTTCAAATATGTTCTATATATTTAGAGAAAATCTAAAATCAGAGAATATAATTTTTTTTTTTTTCAAAATATTAACAAAACCATAATCGTTTCTTCATACAACATGGATCACAACATCTATTATTTGAAGTACATATATTAGTCTATTATTTATTAACTAAATAAACTTAAAAAAAATTATATAAAATAATGACAAAACAACAAATTTACTCAAACTTAGAAAATATATAGAAAAAAGTACAATCCAATATAAAAAAAATCTCAAATCAGAGAATATAACTTAAATATTCAAATATTCAAAAACTATAATAGTGTTATCAGTGACACTAAAATAACACTGCATCATGAGTAGCCGATTGCTACTAGAGGTCATTCTCCCATTACATTGACTCTCACACCACACAGACTGTTACACATCACCCTGGACTGCATTTCCCATCAACCATTGCACTGATTACACGCAAAACTTAGAAAATATATAGAAAAAAGTACAATCCAATATAAAAAAAATCTCAAATCAGAGAATATAACTTAAATATTCAAATATTCAAAAACTATAATAGTGTTATCAGTGACACTAAAATAACACTGCATCATGAGTAGCCGATTGCTACTAGAGGTCATTCTCCCATTACATTGACTCTCACACCACACAGACTGTTACACATCACCCTGGACTGCATTTCCCATCAACCATTGCACTGATTACACGCACAGCTGAATGCACTGATTACACGCACAGCTGAATCCAATCAGACATGCTACATAAGCCATGGACTTCCTCTCTCTCACTGCTGAGTATTGTTCTGCATTTTCCACTCATCTAGTGTTAGCTGCATTACCGAGCCTAGTGTCTTGTTTTCTTCGTCTTGCCTTGTCTGTTTCCCCGTGTTTTGATCACTGCCTGTTTACCTGGATTAAGTCTGGATCGAGTCTCGCCCTATTGGATACTGTTTGCCCCTGCCTGGACCTTTGCCTTGTACCTTGATTATCCCTCTTGCCTTGCCATCAATATACCTGTTTGCTATTGTCTGACCTATGCCTGTTTTTGACCACGTCTCAATTAATAAAGCCTTGCAGATGGATCCGCACGCTTCCTGTATTCTCTCTGTTACATCACTACTGTAAATGCTTTAATAGTGAGTGTCATTGTGTATTTTGCGGGTCACCTGAGAGCGATCCTTCGGGCTCCAGATCCCAGACCATCACCACCACAAACACACAGCCCGTGCTCGCCTTTCATATGGGGCCAGATTAGTATCAGTCCCTGGGAAATGGATATTCGCGAACGCACAGCGCCTTCCGGTAATGATTGAGTTTGCCAGTAGGTGCAATGCATGTTCATGATGATCAGATTATACAAAAGTTTAACCGCATTAGTCCTCCATAACTAAAACAAAAAAAAAAAACTTTCAGACATACTGTACCTGCTCCAGGATTATGTGCGTGTGATTATGATTAGTGATGGGAAGTCCGGTTCTTTTCCGCGAACAGGTTCATAAAAACCAGTTATTTTACGCCCTGGTGTAATGACGTCAAGTCTATCATCAATTCATAAAGAGAGCTTTTTTATGTTAGCATATTGATCAAACAATAATTAGACTATATTTTTTATATGTAAAACCAACAATATTACAG